GAATTTAAAAATTAAAAAATTTAAAAATTTGAGAATTCAAGAATTTGAGAATTTAAGAAATGAAGAATTTGAGAATTTAAATATTTGAGAATTAGAAAATTTGAGAATTTAAGAAATTAAGAATTTTAGGAATTTAAGAATTTGAGAATTTAAGAACAGTTGAGTACAGTTTCACTGTACACCACGCACCTTATTAAATTATCAATAGAATTATCGAAACATATTTGGAGAAAAAACGATAAGTGAGCAAGGTATATTCACTTCACGTAACGTTAACACGTATTTATATGTGTACTCTACTTTTAGTAAGGTACTAAAGAAACTGATTTACGTTTACGAATGTGATAAAGATTGCGCAGCTGCATGCACGCGGATAAAATACGTATAATGGTGCATAATAATACAGTTCGTCCAGGTTCCTCGGGACATCTTGCATATATTATGAATTAATCTACACACGCAACATTGTAATTACTAAATTTCCAGCAGCCCAAACTTCAGTTACATTATAACTTATATTCTCATATTACCGGTGTACAGTGTTTACAAGATGATAACAATGCAATGATTTATTGATAAAATAAGAAACTCCCTTTAAATCATTTCGATCAAGCACCATTATTCTTCAAAGCTTAATTGCAACAAGTGTACTTATTCACTTTGATGTGTATATACAGTGGAGGACAAAAGTATTCATACACCATATAAAATGGAGTAACTTTTTTAAAATTGGGCCAAACGACTTGAGTATTTTTGAGAAGTTAGAAAGATTAGTTTACTAGATGACGTGTAAAAAAATTTTTGAAAAAACTGCAATTAGTCGGAATCGCGAAGAAAATAGCGAAGGTCGTTTTTACAACTTTTTTATCTGAGCTCGTAATGAAAATTTAAAAAATACGTTTTGTAGATCTATGTCAATTATACACACGCTGAAAATTTCATCGAAATCGGTTAAAGATTGTGAAAATCGCACTATTTCACTAATAAATCTGAAGATTCTTACATCTTTCGATGCCTGTCGCTTGTTTCTCCATCCACCGATTTCGATGCAATTTTCAGCGTGTGTATAATTCCGACTAATTGCAGTTTTCTCAAAAATTTTTTGACGCGTCATCTAGTAAACTAATCTTTCTAACTCCTCAAAAAAAAAACTCAAGTCGTTTGGCCCAATT